CTCTCTAAAAATTTTCTATTTTTGAAATTTTTATCTCAGACAAGAAAAAAAATAAAAAAAATTAGGAGACAGCGTGGATCACTCTGTTACAAAGGTTGAAAAATTTGGTGATTTTGTGAAATTATTTCAACCGTCGCCGTTTAATTATTATTTTTGGAAAATTAGCTAGAATAATTTTTTTTTTAAATAATTAGAATAATTTTATTATTTTATTATTGTTGAAATAATTTATTTTAAATTTTTTTCTATCATAATACCAAAATTATTTTTGACAGATTTTGTCAAGGTATTTGGTAGATTCTGCCTAAACATTAGTAGATTTTGTCGAAATATTAACAGATTCTACCGATGTTTTGGTAGACTCTGCCGATATCTAAAAATACGTAAATTCTATCAAAATATTAGCAGATTTTGTCGAAATATTAGCAAACTCCGTCGAGGTATTGGCAGACTCTGCCAAATCATTGACAGACTTTACCGAATTATTGGCAGATTCTGCGGAAACATTGGTAGACTCTACCGATGTATTAACAGATTCTGTCAATATCTAAAAATACGTAGAGTCTACCAATGTTCGACAGAATCTGCCAATGTTTTGGTAAAGTATGTTAATATCTTGATAGAATCTGCTAAAGATAATTTTGGTATTATGAAAAAAAAAATCTATAATGGATTATTTCAACAATAAAAAAAATGATAAAATTATTCTATTTATTTTTTATAAAGTAGGTTATTCTATTTAAATTTTTGTAAAAATAATAACGAAATCCAATAAATGAAGAAGACTATTTGTATTGGAGGAACTTTGGGGTGTGTGCGTGACTACGTAGACCGTAATCTTTTAACGCCGCTAAAATCGAACACGTGTCAACCATGCAATCGCTCATCAGAGCTGTCTTTTGGGCTGTCTATACGGTATACAAATGTATCTTCTTTGCTTTTTGTTATTGTATTGATTATTAATCAATAAGTGCTGATAAATGTGTTTTGAGCCATTTGTCCAAGTTTTTGTAAGTTTGATGGCTTTGAGTGGTTTGTGTTTTCAATCCTTTCCCGACTAATTGGAGATTGGAGCGATGAATTATGTTGTTTTAAGAGCATCAGTAACAATGAGACTTTGAAAGTCTCT